CCAGTTTTCCTTTGCCTCTACCCCTACCCTTGGGTTTTTAACAGTAATTTGTGGGCTGGCAAGATGGCTTAGCATGTGAAGGCGCTGGTTGCCAAGCGTCAGGACCTGAGTTTGATCCCTGCGTCCTACACAGTGGGAGAAGAGAACCAGAAAACCGGTTCCTGCATTCCACATATGTGTCTTGGCATGTGCCCCCCCATGATAAACAAAAACAAAAATGTAAATTTTAAAAAGTGATGTGTTCCACTTGTGTACCCTGGGCCAGTCTCTCCTTCTTTCTCTCCTCCTCATCCCTCACATCCCCCCCCCCCCGCAAGCCCCTCCAGTCTTGTTCCTCTTACCAGTGGGTACTTTCTGAAATTGTGCCCCGTTTGTCACATGTGCCCACTTAGGGGGTGGGGACTAAAGAGTAGGGAAGCTCGGGCGGGCCTCCACCAGCATGGGAAGAGGGTTGTTTCTGAGATGGGGAACACAAATGCTGCCCTTTGCTTATGCTTTTCTCCTGGGTGGGGCAGGAGGATGCCCTGCGCTGTTTCTTCCAGCCGCAAGAGCTAGGGAGCCCAGACAAGTGCTTCTGTGACCACTGTGGGAAAAAGACGCCTAGGAAGCAGGTACTCTTTAAGTTCAAACTCTTCACTGGGATGGAGTCGCCCATGGGGTTCCTGACTGGTCTTTGCGAACCCCTTAGCATCTTGTAATGGCTGACATTGGGGATCTGGGTGGAGCCAGTGCCTGGGATCCCAGGGCTTCTCATTTGCATAACTTCAAACTTGGCATCTCAGAACGTGTTGCTGAGGGGGACAGGAAGAACCTTTTAGGGACAAAGAGGAGAAGGTTCAAGGGTTTGGTTGGAGTCCTAGAGTAGACGCCAAAGTTCCTGTGCTGGAGCTGAGGCCTTCTGTGGAGATGCGTGGTGAGTCGTGACGGTGCCCTGTGGGAAAGAACACACCACCAGTCTTGCCACTGCTCTGAACCTGCCCGTCTCAGTGCCCAAAGACTTCATCACCAGGCCGGTTTTGCTTTCTCAGGTTTTGAAACTGACTCATCTGCCCCAAACTCTGACCATCCACCTCATGAGATTCTCCACCAGGAACTCACGGACAGAGAAGATCTGCCACGCAGTGTATTTCCCTCAGTGCTTGGATTTCAGTCAGGTTCTGGCAACTGAGAAAGAACTTGGTGATACCAAGGAACAGGTGAGGCTTGCCATCCGTCCTTCCTTCATCTCAGCAGGCTCTGTTCTTCTGAGGTGGCTGTCCATTCCCGTTAACTTCTGGGCACCACTCACTCATAAGTGCTCTAATCAAATAGATTAATCAAATACCAAGTCTATGACAGCAGACTGTGAGGTGACATGGACCAGCACCATGTGGGCCAAACACTTCCTAGGTCCAGCTCTCACCCAGGGACCCAGGCTCCCTGTCAACCACACTTGGTATATATAACAGTGAAGAACAAATTGCAGTTTAGTATGACTCACAAAAGCACATATATATTCAGGACTTCTTTTTTCTGTTTTTCGTCTTTTTTTATTTAAAAGTCACACTTATTTATTTGTTAGTGTCTGAGTATGACATGAATGGATTCAGGACAGCTCGTGGGAGTCAGTTGCCTCCCTCTACTACCTGGGTCCTGAGGATTGAACTCAGGTCCTCAGTTTTGGAGGCAATCACCTTTGCCTGCTGAGCTGTCGAGCCAGCCCATGACAGACTTCCTTTCTTAGGCAATGCTTTCATGATGAAGCCTTTGTAGTTCTGAGAAGCAGTGGTGGGTCATCACCCCACCGTCACGGCCAGCCTTTGACTTTACTTTTAAAGATTCAGAAAGCTTCCTTTTTCTAAATATTGGGTTTTGTGGAAACGCCTCAGGGAATTGAGAAAAGAGACCTGTAATTCGGTACTTCCCATTTGAAATGTGGAATACTCGCAGGCACATAAGTAAACACAAAATTTCAGGTTCTTAGAGCCAACTAAACTTTCATATTAAAAAACCAGAGCCTGCTTTAAGGATCATATCAAAGTAGCCAGTGATGGAATCAGATTTAATTAGAGGAAAATTTAATTCAGTTGTTCCAAGTCAGTAACTTCTTGGGAGATTCTGAGAAAAAAAAATGGCTGTCTTTTCCTTGTAGGTTTGAAGTAGGAAATGTTACGTTTGCAGGTTTTAGGTCTCACATAAATGGCTCCATTGTTGGAATGCTTGTTCTGTTACATTGGTCTTTTTGCCAATTTGTGCTCCAGGGCCATGATATTAAAATACAAGGCCCATCTTTACCTATTAGGTGTCTGTGTTTCACAGTGTTCACTTTTGCTCTCTTTCTCGTTTTCTTGCTCAGTCCAGCTGTGCAGTGCATTTGAATTTACTGTTTAAAGAAGATTTCATTGTGGAAAATATCAGACAAACACAAGAGAGTGGGGAAATACATAACAAACTCCCATCCATCCATCCATTCAGCAGTTGACTATTTAGTTACACAAATTTATGGTCAGTCATGATTTACCTCCATGCCCACCTTCTTTTACTCAACTGTTCTGGTTGTTTTTTTTTTTTTATCAACTTGACATAATCTAGTCACCCGGGAAGAGGGAAACCTCAGGTGAGGAATTGCCTCCATCCATTTGGCCTGGAGCAAGCCTATGGGGGCATTTCCTTGAAGGATGATTGATGTGGGGAGGGGCAGCCTACTGTGGGCAGTGCCACCCCTTGTCAGGTCATCCTGGGTTGTATAAGAAACTGAACAAGCCATGGGGAGCAAGCCAGTAAGCAGCACTCCTCCATGCTTTCTGCTTCGGTACCTGCCTCCAGGTTCCTGTTTGAGTACCTGCCCTGACTTCCCTTGATGATGGACTGTGATGTAATATGAAATAAACTTTCCTCCCAAAGTTGCTTTTGGTCATGGTGTTTATCATAGAAACAGAAAGCAAACCTTTTAGATTATTTTGAAGCAGACCCCAGAGTTTCTACTATTTTGTTTATAAGCACTTTTTAAATGTTTCTCTAAAGAGTAAGCATATACTTTCTTAGTGTAATCAACCCTATATTATAATTTCTTACTATTTCCAAATATCCAGCCAATGTTTTGATATCTCTGTTCTATAATTTCTGTGGTGTGGTAGTTTGAATAATGGCCCCATAGGCTGATATATTTGCCTGTTTAGTAATCAGGGAGTGGCACTACTTGAGAGGGATTAGGAGGTGTGGCCTTATTGGAGTAGGTGTGGCCTTGTTGGAGGAATTATGTCATTAGGGGTAGGTTTTGGGGTTACAAAAACCCAAGTCAGTCCTAGAGTTTCTCTCTTTCTGCTGCCTGTGGATCCAGATGTAGAACTCTCAGCTACTTCTTCAGCACCATGTCTGCCTGCTTCCTACTATGCTTCCTGCCATGATGATAATGGACTACATCTCTGAAACTGTAAGCCAGCCCCAATGAAATATTTCTTTTATAAGAGTTACCATGGTCATGGTGTCTCTTCCCAGCAACAGAACACTGACTAAGACGCGCGGTTTGCTTGAGTTTATATCCAAAGTCTACATTGACATCTGGATAATCGTCCTCCCTTCATCCCTCCTTTCTTCTCTCCCCACTTTCTTCCTCTCTGTTCTTTGTCTTTCCCTCTTTCCCACCCCCTTTCTCTTTTCAGTTAAGTTTCTTTCCCATCCTGCTGTTCTTCTTGAAGTTTAGTCAGGGGAAGTCGAACTCTCATAGTCCACAGTTGGCTGCTTTACAGTAGTCCCCAGCCCTCTTTTTTGTAACTTGATCATTATATCCAGGCATTGCCTTTCATTTCAACAAATTCCAGCAAAAAAGTTAGTACAGAAAGTAAAAGGTGCTTTCTGTCCTCCATTTGTCTACCTTCCCTCTTTCCTGCTTTGATACTACTTGTCAAGACACTGACTATGTGGAGAAACTATATGAAGTATTCTTTTATTAAAAAAGAAGTTCTCCAGGGAGGTTGCCATTTTGTTTGTTCATTCAAAATTTTCTAATTTTAGCTTCGTTGGGGAGGGGCGTGCACATATAATTCTAGTCCTTGGAAATTGGCAGTGTGTGTGTGTGTGTGTGTGTGTGTGTGTGTGTGTGTGTGTGTGTGTGTGTGATGAGTTTGAGGACAGCCTATGCCACATAGCAAGACCCTGTCTTGGAAAACTGAATGAAGGCTGGAGAGGTGGCTCAGCAGGTAAGGCGTGTGCTGCCAAGCCTGATGACCTGCCACTTACCTATGTGGCAGAAAGGGAGAACACATCTTCAAAGCTATCCTCTGAAGTCCACCTCCACTGGCGGGACACATCATGTACACACAGAAACAAATAGTTAAATGTGATAAAACCCTAGCGTCATCTTTAAAAAAGACCTAAGGAAACATACATTTTAATTAATCTTTATCTTGAAAATATTATCTTTTCTGTGTATTTGTGTCCATGTACTCTCTCTCTCTCTCTCTCTCTCTCTCTCTCTCTCTCTCTCTCTCACACACACAGATGGCTTTGTAGAATTGGTTCTTCTCTTCATCCACTTTTATGTGAGTTCTGGGGGTTAAACTCACTGGGTTTGTGTGGCAAGTACCTTAACTTGGCTGCACTTCAAGTGTGTGAGGTACTAGTGACTTGGGGAAGAGGTGGGCTCTGGGCTCACATTCTCTTCTTGGTTCCTATGGTGGCTCAGACTGCATGGAGCATCGAGGGACCCTGGCTGCAGAGTACTGGAACCTAGGCTCCAGGCTCCACGCCTGTTGAGCAGAGAGCACACGGTGGAACTTTAAGAAAGTGTCCCACTAAAGTGGTGATCTGGTCCACAGGCAGCCACAATCTCTCTCACCGTTCTTCCATTTTTCACAGAGAATTATCTCTTATTTTGCTTTCCTAAGGATTTGAGGGAATGGCATGGTTTCCTGTCAGTTCTAATGGTATTAGATTTCTACTTGGTCTTCAATAGTGACAACGTGCTCTCCAGATGTCTGTTGAATTGGCTACTTTGTGATAAACACTACAACCAGGGAAACTTACAGAGGAAAGAGTTTATTTTAGGCTTGTGGTTCCAAGGAGGTAGAGTCCATGGTGACAGAATGGAGGGATGGTGATTGAACCGTTTCTCCATTTGTCTCCCTCCAGCCTGGAGTACATTATGAACTCTTTGCTGTGATTGCCCATGTGGGTATGGCTGACTTTGGTCATTACTGTGCCTACATCCGGAATCCTGTGGATGGAAAATGGTTCTGCTTCAACGACTCCCATGTTTGTTGGGTGAGAAACATCATCCAAATTGTTACTTGCCCTAGATTAACTACCTCTAATAAATCCAGAGCATAGGGCTATCTGGGTTCTTGCCATGGAGACTGTATTCTGAATGGGGGTGCCTTTTAGGAGGGGCAAAATCCTGTTCCTCCTCCTGGAAACTGCTCCCGGTTTATTAACCTATGTGCTCACTCAGCTCAGTGCCCTGGGTTCTGGTGATCTAGGCTCAGTGCCATGATGCTTCAGACTCTGTGGTAAAGTTCCCTAAAGCCAGAGTCGTAACTCTTGGATGGGCATGACCCAGTTTAAAGAGAGGAATGGACTTGTCTAGGAGGGCAAACCATAGAACCACACATTCTGAGAACACTGAATACTGATTAGGGTGTTGCCGTCTTCACTTCTAGGTGACCTGGGAGGATGTCCAGTGTACCTATGGAAATCACAGATATCGCTGGTAAGAGAAGGGTCGGCTTGGTGAAGCCTGATGACCTCACTCTGAATTCTCAGCTGTGGGAAACTCTCATGGCCTCAGCTGTTCCTTATGCTCTTGTGACTCCTCTGAGACTGTCAGCTTCATCTGTGACTATACCTGTTTTTTCTCGATACTAAGGTTTAAGTAATGCCTACAGATTCCCAGTGGAGTCCAAATGCTGTGTCTGCCATTTTCTACCCCATTGCAGAGTCCCCCTCATGTTTCGTTCCTCACGGCCTTCCCCACAGTGCAAAGCCTTTACAGATCGACCCAGGCAGACGAGTGGGTGCTTCTCGCATGCTATCATTGTAACTTGAGCATACCTCTCTATGACAAAGAGCGTCTCTTAATTGCTTGCTTATATAACTCTCCTTCACATGTCACATATTCTCTTCGAGGGGAAGAGATCACGCTTCTCATCTTTTTATGTCTAGCAGTAGCTTGCATTTAGTAAGAATCAACAAATACCTTTTAAAACCAATCATTACAGAGGGGACGCTGGAGAGGAAAATAAAGCTGGATGAAGATAGATCAAAGAGTCTTTGTATCGCTTTCCCAGCCTCCTTTCTGGTCTGGGGACAATGGCATACACAAAGGGCGATCTGAGATGGCTTTCAGCTCAGAGGCAGGCTTGACCACTTGAGAAATAAAGAAGTCGATGCAATCGTGTTTGAAATCCTCCTTCAGCCCGCTTGCCTGCTTGCCAGCTTTCTCTATCAGATGCCACATCTTTGTTTCTGATTGTTGCTGATGCCCTTCTGACTTAGGGCAGGAGCTGGCAGACTGTCTGTAGAGAGGGAGGGAGGACGTTCTCAGCTCTGTGCAACACAGATCCTGTTGCAGCTACGGGGCTCTGCCCTTGTAGCCCTGAAGAGGCTATGGACAATACATGGACAACTGGTTAAATTGGCACTATGACAGAATCTATTTGCCAAGACAGATTTCTTTTGTGGTCCCACCATGTAATTTAGATAACAACTAATAGGTACTCACTCTGGTCACAATATCCCCCATCTTTCAGGGAATGGCTTAGAGGGTCATGGGTTAGATGAAGAGTCAGGAAGTTTACAGATGTGTGTCATGTCATGGTTTCACTGTGGGTGTTTCATTTTCCTGTGCTGACACGTGTTCTTTGCTTTCTAGGCGGGAAACTGCTTATCTCTTGGTTTACATGAAGATTGGATCCTGATGGATATACCCATACCTTCTGGGAATGATGAACTTTTATTTTCCTTTCCCATATCTATGTTTGCTGTATAGTCAATGAGAATCGTAATTTAAAAGAAGTAATTACACTTTATTTATAAGCAAAAGTTAATATTGCTATGGCTTGGATGTGGCTTATTTCCTAAAATCACACATGTAGGAGGCGTGGTCCTTAGCGTGGCAATGTTTAGATGGTAGTCCTTAAAGAGACAGCATCCAGTAGGAGGTAATTGGTCCATGGGAGCTCTCTCTTCTGCGCACTAATAGTTCTTTTTCTGTTTTTCTACCATCTGTGATGTAACCAGGGGTCCACAACATGATGCCAGTGCTATACTGATTGGATCCTCCAACTACTAAATTTTTGAGTTAAATAAATGTTATCAGAAATGATTCAGCCTCAGGTATTTTGTTACAGCAACAGAAAATGCATGACTATAATTGTTAAAATACTTAGCAACGATCCCTCATAGGTCTAGATCAGTAGGAATGGATAATTTCAAAAGTGGATTTGGGTAGATCATGATCCTGATGTGGCTGTCAGTATAAGACATGACCACAGTTGGGAAACTGGGAATACAGGCATTATCAGGGAGGAATCAGTGGTAACAGGAGGACCTGGAGTGACAAGGGACAGTGGAAGGAAGTATAGTAGTGCAGTGTAACAGCTAGTGTGACTACACTGGTATGCACTGACTAAATGTCACCCTAACTGAAAAATATTATTATTATTATTGTTGTTGTTGTTAGTGTGTCTGTGTGTCTGTGTGTGCACCATGGCATGCATATGGGATTTAGTTCTCTAATCACACTTTGGGATTCAGGGATTGGACTCAGGTGGTAAGATTTGTATACAAAGCCATTTTACTCTCTGAGCAATCTCGCTGACCCTTGGCCTGACGGTTTTTTTTTTTCTTTTATATGTATGGGTGTTTTGTCTGCATTACATCCATGAAGTACCTGCGGAAACCACAAGAGGGCATCAGATCCTCTGGAACTGGAATTAGAGATGGTTGTGAGCCTTGATGTTGGTGTTGGGATTCAAACCCAGGTGTTCTGTAAGAATATCCAGTGTTCCTAACTGCTGAACCATCTCTCCAGTCCCCCCAGCCCTCTTAGTTTATTACACATTTACTTGGAAATATATTGTGGTCATCCAGTCTCTATGAGGTTGTTATTATTACTGTTGCATAGTCATGACCAAAATATCTTCAAGAACAACCTAAAGGATTGGCAGTTTTAGAGGACACATGGTGACTTAGCCCTGTACACACCATGGCATTGTAAGGGTAGTGGGGTAGGCTCCTCATCCCACGGTGGACAGGAAGGAGAGAGCATCTGAGAGCCAGAAAGAGAGGGAGTGAGGGAAGAGGAAAGAAAGGATTGGGAACCGCTCACCCCTCAAAGCCAGGCTTCCATCCACTTCCTCCAGCGAAGCCCTACCTGATTTCTCAACCACGTCCCAAAACAGTGCCAGCAGCTGGGGAGTTTGTGGCTTAATGAGGCACAATCGAAGTACGGAGACGCTGAGAGCTTGCGCTTCAGGAAGAGAAAAGGAAACCCTTCTGTGGTGGGGCCGGAAGTAAGCCTTTGAGTGGGAGGAGCTTAGAGGGGAGGGTAACTATGTAGAGAAAGCGAACGCAGTTGTGTGGCTGAAAATAGACTATATTCAAGGTTCTCATGCTGGGGAAGAACGTGCTGAGGGGTGGAGACCGGGAGTGAACTGGAAGGCCTCAAACCAGGCTGCGAGGTTGGGATTTAATCAGATGGCTAGTGAACTACTGGAGGGGTTAGAAAGGGAAGAAATGCTTAGTTATGACAGAACTGATCTTCAGGTGAGAAGGCTTAGAGACAGAAATGATGGAGCAGAAGGACTTTGAAGTCACTAGGGCCATTTTGGATTAAAAATAGTGTGGGTGGTGAGTGGAACCCAGAGGATCCAATAGCAACCGGGGAAGTGATCAGCACACTGCTTTTACGGGTGATACAATTCGTACACACTCAGTGTTTCACAGTTGCATTAGGGAACCAAACTGATAGGATAAGTCTGCATCAAAAGGGAGTCATTAGGTTTGCTTACACAATATGGCGTGGGTAGAAACAAGGGCCATCTTTACACTGAGAGGCTGAGGACCGGTGGCTAGTGCTTAGACACAAGGCTGGACGCCTAAGCAGTCCTCAGGGGCCGCTGGAGGATTCCTCAAGAGCTGCTTGCCATTAGGTCATGTTGGCAGCTGAAGAAGCTGAGTTCTGGTGTCAGCAAAGAGGTAGCTGCCGTGGCAGCAGCCAAAGAGCAGGTGCGCTTCCGGGCAAGAGGCTAAGGCGGGCAGGCAAAAAGCAAGACGTTCCCCTGGGACCTCCTCATCTCCTGCTACAGGAATGTGCCATCCCCACACAAAGGGAGAGGCTTTCCACTTCAATTAACCTAATAAGGAAAATCCTTCCTGGGCACGTCCAGGTGCAAACCTAATGTAGATAATCCCACAGGTGTGGCTAGGGTAGTGGTTATCAACCTGCGGGTTAAGCCCCCCCCAGGGGTCACATATCAGTATTTACATTATGATTCATAACAGTAGCAAAATTACAGTTATGAAGTAACAGCAAAAATAATCCTCTGGTTGGGGTCACAACACAAGGAACTGTGTTAAAAGGGTCGTAGCATTAGGGAGGTAGAGAATCACTGACCTGAAGGCTTGTAAAAGTCAACAAGTGCTTGCAGGAGTCAATTCTATAGTCCTTGTAAAACTAAAAAAATTTCTGATATACAATGGTTTACAGTAAACATCCCAAAAGGGAAGAATGGGACATAGCAAGAAAAGATTGGGTCAAAATAAGACTGAAACCTGTTAGGAAAAACACCATGCCTAGTATCTGAGTCATATAGTGTTGTGATGTGAACCCCAATGGATTTGGGTAACTCGGCTCCTACAGCCCAATAATTGAAGCCCACAAGGCCCCTCTAATAAGTTGTTCCATTTATTGTCTGCTGGTTTCCTTGGCAAATGTTCCATGTTTGTGGTATCTCCATTGTCTTAGGGTTTCAATTGCTATGAAGAGACACCATGACCACAGCAACTTTTATAAAAGAAAACATTTAATATGGGGGTTTTACAATTCTAGAAGTTTAGTCCATTATCTTCATGGTGGGACATGGCGGCATGCAGGCAGACATGGTGCTGGAGAAGAAGCTGAGAGTCTACATCTTGATACCCCAGGCAACAGGAAGTTGTCTGAGACACTGGGCATAGCTTGAACATAGGAGACCTCAAAGCCCACCCCTACATTGACACACTTCCTCCAACCAATAGCTCAGGCTGGTTACTAACTAAATCTTTGCTTGTTTGTTTTTTGAGGCAGGGTTTCTCTGTGGCTTTGGAGGCTGTCCTGGCACTCGCTCTTATAGACCAGGCTGGTCTTGAACTCACAGAGATCTGCCTGCCTCTGCCTCCCAAGTGCTGGGATTAAAGTCACACGCACCACTGCCTGGCTTTACTAAGTAACTCTTATATTAACCCATATTTATTATTTATGCTTTTGCCACGTGACTTGGTACCTTTTCTCAATATGGCATTCTCATCTTGCTTCTCTCTATATCTGCTCATGACTCCTGACTCTGCCCTTCTTCTTCCCAGCATTCTCAGTTTGGCTCTTCCACCTACCTTTATCCTGTCCAGATACTGGACAGTCAGCTTCTTTATTAACCAATCACACACACACACACACACACACACACACACACACACACACACACACACATATTTGCTCAGTGTAAAGGAATATTCCTATGAGCTTATAGGGGTCAATCACATTCAGACTACCATATCTACCATTCTGAAGTCTCCATAACAGCTCATACTTCACCTTCAAGGGTCTTGCATGTCCTACCCAGAGTCACCTTGCTATGTATTTCCTGGCCTCACAGAACTTTCTCTGGAACCTAGTGCAAACCTTTAGGGCCCCATTACTCTCATTTTGTGCAAAACCAGAACTTACTGGGCTTGGAGAGATGGCTCAGAGTTTTAGAACATGTACTGTTGTTGCAGAGGGCTGGAATTCAGTTCCCAGCACCTGTGCTGGGTGGCTTACAACCACATGTAACTCCCGCTCCAAGAGGTCTGGTGTCCTTTTCTGGTCTCTGGGCAAAGCTCGTAAGGACTCACATTTCCTGAATGTCTGCCCTACTTTCACTGATTAAGCCAATCACATCAGATTGTGAGGTTGAACTCCTACAAATAGAACGAGACATAGACACTACCTATGTTAGGCATAAAAGATAGACGTCATCTTGGCCGGTCCCCTTGCCAGCCCAGTTTGGGTTTTGGCACACCTTTTTTTTTTTTTAATCCCCAAAATAGCTGCACTTTTGAGCTAATTTTGTTGTATACTTTCACTTTGCGTGAACACTGAGGTTATTCTTTGTTTCTAACAGCTGTAAGATGGAATAAGCCCATTCACCCCCAAGCTGATTTTTGTCACAGCAACAGAAAATAAGTAATATGGAAGTTGGTGCCAAAGAGCGAGCGGGCTGCTGCTGCAAAGAACCTGACTGTGCTGGTTTTTGGAGGAATGTGAACATTTGGGGACTCTGGGCTAGAAAAGCAATTGAACCCTGTAGGTGGGACTTGTGGGCCATCATTTTGAGGATGTGGAGGTTTTACCCAAACTACTCAAAACTCTGATTCCCAGGCAGGAGGCAGGGAAGGGGTGGGGAGCAGAATGTGTGGCCACCAATATCCTCGGATGCAAGCCCCACTTCCTCAGGTGGGGATTCTGGTACCTGGATGTGTGTCAGCAGGAGACTCACAGATTGTGTGTCAGTAGATTGCCTGTCAGGGCTGCTGTGGGTACTGTGGTCTGAGCAGCAGCTGGCCTCCAACATCACACTCTTACAAACACGGGCCTGCTAAGACATTTGCCCTATCTACCCTGTCTCTCAAACTCCAACAAAATGGCTCTTGGGTTTCTTTCCTAGTCCAGTTGCAAATTTTACAATCTACTAGACTAAGAACCCACAACAGGGAACTTTGATTTCTCAGGATTAAATCATCTAATTCTATAGCATTATTTACAAGAATGTATTTCTGAGCAGTTATCCCAATGGCAAAATTAGCTCACTTTTAACATTGGTAAGCTATGTATCTTTCAAATAGAAGGCCCAGAAAGCATGTAAAAATATCTTTTCATAAGCTTGCCTAGCAAAAATTCAGTTTAGAGGTTAGGCATAGTATCCAGTGCTCAGGAGGCAGGAGGATTGTAATAAGTTGAAGGATATCTTGGTCTACGAAAACCAAACCAAAACAACAAAGACAACATCAGTTTGGAGATTTTTTTCCAAACATTTAATAAAAGTATATTTTAATAATTCAATCAGCCTTTAGTTTATTTTCTTTGTATTAGTGTTTTTACCTTCATTTATACCTGTGAACCACATGTGTGCAGTGCCCTCAGGAGTCAGAAGGGGACATCAAATCCCCCAGAACTGAGCTACAGTTGTGTCCTGCCATGTGGGTGCTGGGAACTGACCAGAGTCTTCTACAAGAACAGTGAGTGCTCTTAACCCTGAGATGGCTCTCCGGCCTGTAATTAGCCCTTATATATAACTTAGTAGTTTATCTCCTTTTGGTAGGCCTAACAGAAAATTACCACACACAGAGCAATCTGGAGAGACGGCCTCTGGCCTCTGTGGGCACTGTACTCATGTGCATGTCCCACAAGCAGACACATACACCTGTACATAATTAAAAATAATGAAAGTAAATCTCTAAAATGTTATTATTTGTAGAGATGATATGTCCTGCAATTTTCATTGAAAAAGGAAATTTAATGCAAAGATGTTTGATGTGTTAAGGGTATATATCACACCCTGAATTAAAGCTGGGTATTTATCACTCATATATTAAAAGAATGAAATGATAGGCAATGATCCAAAAAACAGATCTTAATGTAAATTTAGAGGCTTTTTAAAATCAACTTAAAGCATTTGTTTGTTATTTGAATTTTATCCAGCTTTTGTAATTTCTGTAATAAGATTTCCCCTCTCCATCTCAGTTTCTTGAATTAGCACTAAGAAGCATCAGACTCAAGCATTCCACTAGCAAGGAGTCTCTTAACTAATATTTCCATTAGTTACCACTTTAGACTGGCCAGCCTGAAGTCCAGTTCTCCTCCTAGTTTCAAATTCTCTCTTGCCTTTCAGCTGTCTTCTCTTCCAAAGGGAAGCTCTTCACGCAGACACTATGAGCTCTTACACAAAAACACTCCAGGGTTTGTTAAACATTCAAGAGTACAATTCCCTCTAGGGGGCACTGAGGTAGCATTTTTCATGGTTACAGAAATCATGGCACAAATCCCAAAATCCTTGCTTCTTTATCTCTATAGTTCTACAGAACCTAATGATCCACGAGCCCCAAATCCTCTCCTGTCACATCGCAAACACCCCAAGTAGATCAACAGAACTACAGGTTTGTTCATGAGAGCTTTCGAATTGAGAGAGCCTGTCACACCGATGATGTGGTAGATCAAATAGTTCAGCAAGAGACCTGTCAGAGA